TGAGCGAACTCTTCCTGCACTCTTCCAAGTTTGTCAAACAAAAGTCTTCAATATAATTTTGTTTCCTTTATAGATTTTCCCGTATAGTTAGAAATTGACAACTAGAAGATATAAATATCTGTTCCAACTGGCTGCTGTACTTCTATGTATGAATAAATTAATATTCTGTCTGAAACATTAGTGGAAGGTAAGTTTAGTTGGTGTTTTTCTTTTTGAACCTCGAAAGGTGATCAGACTCCTTGTTTTCTGTTTTTCATTGATCACTAACATGCTCAAATCGTGTTACGAGATCAAAATGGGACTGACTCAGACAATCACAAGAGATTGTGATACAAGAATTCCAAGACACACATTCTGTGTGATTGATTGCTAAGCAAAAATATTGATTCCCATTTATTTTGCATCTTGTTGACACACAATAATGGTCACAGTCGATTGTCATACAATGGATTGAGGAAAGGTTGTTAGGGAATGAACTAAGTATAAAATGATATTTTGTTGCTGCCTCAAATTTGATTCATTTTCTGAGTCTGAGTTTATTACTTAGGCTAAAATGTAGAATCTCAGAGCCAGAGTAATACAATCCAGATTTAAGTCTATCATTTGTTAGTTTATAGCCAGTCTTGCTAAGACAGATCAATCTGTAATGCTCTGACAAAATAGAGTTTGTAGTCCTTCGAACATAAAAATTTAAACTGTGCTGACACAGCTAAGGTAATTTTACTTTTAAGCTGCTAACTGAGTGTGAATTTGCTCTCCCTCTGGTATACCTGCACCATTTCTCTCTAAATTTGAGTCAGATAAAATTTTGGATGAAATTGTTTGTTTGTTTGTTTGTTTGTTTTGAGATAGGGTCTCACTCTGTTTCCCAGGCTGTAGTGCAGTGGCACAATCACAGCTCAACGCAGCCTCAACCTCCTGGGCTCAAGCAATTCTTCCATCTCAACCTCCCAAGTAACTGGGACTACAGGGGCATGCTACCACATCTAGCTAATTTTTGTGCTTTTTAAATAGAGAGGAGATTTCATTACACTGGTCTTAAACTCATGAGCTCAAGCAATCTGCCTGGCTCAGCCTCCCAAAGTGTTGAGATGACAGGCTGTTAGCCACCATATCTGGCCTGGATGAAATTATTTGGATCAATAACATAAGGTAGCTAAAACTTTTGCCATTGTTTTCACTTTGTAAAATGTAAAGGACATTAATATTTTCCCTATTTTTACTGATAGCAGGGAGAAGAGAATGTACAAGTATATAACCCATCTATATAAATCTCTACAACCAAGGTAAAAAGCCATTTATATTTTCGTATCCTAAGTATATTTGAAATTTAAGTCCTCTTCATGACTACTACAATAGCCCTTGTCTAGGACCTAGAAACCCTTTACCAGGACTTATTGAAACAACTGTCACACTGCAACCAGTCTAATAAGTTTGTTTGTGACAGTCTTGCTCGGTCACTCAAACTGGAGTGCAGTGATGCAATCTCAGCTCACTGCAAGTTCTGCCTCCTGGGCTCAAGCAATCTTCCCACCTCAGTCACCTGAGTAGCTGGGACTACAGGCATGCACTACCATGCCCAGCTTATTTTTGTAATTTTAGTAGAGATGGGCTTTTACCATGTTGGCCAGGCTGGTCTCGAACTCCTGACCTCAAGTGATCTACCCGCCTCAGCCTCCCGAAGTACTGAGATTACATTAATGATCCACCACACCCTTCCAGTCTAATCGTTTGACATCTATCATCCACATAGAATTGGGAATAATCTGTGTGAAACTGCAACATAAACTAGTACTATTATTGTTTAGAAATCTAGCAATCGTTGTTTAGTTGCCCATAGAATCACTGTGAAGATCCGTATCACATGTATACTCTGAGACCTGAAAACAGAGCCCTCCCCTGGAGCTCCTATATTTGAAGGGGTGGGGTAAACCACTGACTGGGAGCCAGGAGTCAGCTCTCCTGACACTTCCATGTACAGGTGTAGAACTCTGGGGATTCTGAGAATCCTAAATTTAGATTGTGTGTCTTTCGTGCTTACAAAGCTGTATTTTGCTAAGTCAGGCGATATTTCATGTTAGCCACCTTTTGTATTACTTTAAATATTTAGACATGTAGGATATTGAGACTCCTACTCTGAGCCTGCAGATGTTACACCCATCTAAATTTTCACATTGTCCTGATTCAAGCACCAGAGATGGAAATAAATAAATAAAAATAAAAATTTACATTATGCCCTTCATGGCTATAGTCCTACTGAATTCTTCAGTTCACCCCCAATTGCTAACTACTATGAAAGTTGGTCATATAAATTGGATTATTCTTGTCATGTCAACTAAAACATGGGCAAAAGATGGGGAAGAGAGCATTCAGGGCACAAAACATGGCTCCAAGAATGAAATTCTCTGTAAGCCTGCAAGCTGAAACTGCCTGTTGTAACCTAAAACCAGCTTTATCCAATAGCTACTGAAACAACCTCCTTTGACTCCAAGGGAGTTTAACCCATCATCTGTCACTCACCAACTAGAGCTTCCCAGTACTCCGCATTTTACTAGTGCCAATGAACTTTCTCGGAAAACAGTATGTAACACTTCTTCTTTATATGAAATCTCCGACCCTCTTTTTGTTCTTCAGGCATAAGGAAGACCACCCAGTCTGTGTGTATATCCTGAACTGCAATTCTTGTTTCCTTAATCAAATCTTAAATTTAGATATTTGTCTCTACATTTTTATTTTGACTTAAAAACTAGCCTTGTTATATTTATGGTGTATTAACTCTAAACTCTTTTACCATGCTCTAGACACGATGATATATAACATCTTTATGTTTTTGCTCCTGCTGTTTTCACTGATTGAAATGCTCTTCACAACTTTTCTGTCTAATCCATTAATCTCTTAATATGCAGCTTTTAAATCTCTAAGAACTTCTCCAGACTTTTATTAAACTTATTCAATTTTCCCACAGCACACTATGCAAACTTCATTCTTATCACTGCCTTATTAACTATACAGTTATTTTTTTCTGTCTCATCTAAAAAAACCCTATAAACCTTTTGAAGGCAGTGTTCATATCTTATTCATTATTATGCTACTAACACATATGTACTGAACTGAACAGTATGGTTAAAAATACATGTTATTTCACATTTTATTGAACCTACAAAGACAGTTGTTTTGAAAATACTATTTACCAGTTACTAAAGTTGAAAGCTAAGCAGTGTTAGTAAAATAGTGAAAAACTGTTATGAATTGTAGGAAAGAATGTTCAATCTTTGTCAAAGCCATTGCAGGGTTTTAAGTATTGATTTTCTTTCCACAATGCAATATGTAGCAAATAATTATAGCAATGGTATTATAATACAAAAGGCTATGAAAACCAAGCTTTAACGTTTGCATAAAGTGTTGAAGCTATGAGTGCTTTGCCCTACCAAAGCAAAATACTAGTACTAGTTCTAAAGACAAATAATTTGTATAAATTTACAAGTTTAATAATCTTAAAGACTAGTACATATGAAATTGTATTGAACTTATAAAGACATTTAAAAAAACCAAGAAGTTATATTTTAAGATTTTTCTGGTTTTTGAGATAGAGTTTTGTTCTGTCTTCCAGGCTAGAGTGCAGTGGCACGATCTTGCCTCACTGCAACCTCTGCCTCCTGAGTTCAAGCAATCTTCCTGCCTCACCCTCGAAAGTAGCTGGGATTACAAGCATGCACCACCATATCCAGCTAAGTTTTATATTTTTAGTAGAGATGAGGTTTTGCTATGTAAGTCAGGTTGGTCTTGTACTCCTGACCTCAAGTGACCTGCCCATGTTGACCTCCTAAAGTGCTGGGATTACAGGCATGAGCCACCACGCCTGGCCTATTTTAGGATTTCAAATGTAATTATCCATTTAATATGTGACACACAATATTAGGGGGAAAAAAGTATTCCGTTTGTTAAGCAGCTTATTTGAAAGTTTCAAAAATAAATTTTTTAATGTCACATAATGTATATAATCTCTTAGTAGCTTTCTTCCAACTATAACTATTGGTTAGACCCAACATGTGGATCTGAGTCAGCCTCAGTTCTTGGCCATTGTAATGAGAGAAGCAAGATACTTGCATTCTCAATCATCTCTGGCCATGAAGTATCTTGCCTGAAATAAAAATTGAAGTTTTCAACCCCATACATTTCTAAAGCTTGAGTATTAGAATTACTCAGTGTTAACATTAATCTTACTACTGATGCACTGACTTGCTTAACATTTTTTTCTGTGTTTCCTAGCCTAGGACTCCCAAAATCTGACAGTTACTGCCTTTCTAACCTTCACTGTTATCCTGCTTGAGTTGATTTCCTGAAACCCTGTTTCAGCCTTCTCTTCCCTTGCAAACTCATAGACTCCATCTCACAACCCTCTATACACATGAAAGCTAGTCACACTGGGAGGAAATTGATGCAGCCATGTTTCTGGCTTTGGAAACTACCTATCATCTGGATCTTTCCTTAGAGTGGTGTCTTCTTGCACGGGCAGAACCCATTTGCTTATGTTAGAGTATGCCAACTCCTTTGCACTTCCATGCTCTGGCATATCATGCTTGAGGGTTGCTTTCCCAAGAATCAGTCTGACTGTATTTAACCTATGCATAGCTCTTTACTCTTCAGCCTCCCCAGTCCCAGCTTCATAAACCAATTCCACTGGCCTTTGGTCCTGGGGTCTTATCTCACCCTGTTCATGAGGTTATGGTCTGACATTTATTATACAATATAACAGGGAGACGAGGGGAAGTTTATTAAGCAAACTTGAATTTTATGAACTATATTGATAATAGGAAAAGAGAAAACCAGTTCATTGAATCACCCACCAGGATATGGTTTGAACATCAGAGAGTTCCTTGACAGAATTACTATGAAAGTAGAAAAACATCAAAATATGATAGCTCATATAGTTAGGACTATTTACAGTGAGTGACCACATTATAAATTAAAACATATTTATTGTAAGACATATAGCTTACCTTAACTTCCACATGTGCCATCAGTACTGCGAAATTTGTTAGGTGGTTACAAGAGCATGTAGTATGTGTCTTATTTGTTGTCAGGAGCCGACAGCCTTGTGTTGACCAATAACCTGTCATTGTGCGCTTGGAGTAGCTCCAAAATGAACAGTTAGGGTTGAAATTTTCCTCTGATTGCTACAGGGGAAAAAAAAATCCATAAAATCAATAACTATTTTATGATCATGTAAATTAGGTAGGCATTTTATTTACGTATAACACAACTTCATATTCTGTTCCAATATTACAGAGATGTCTACCAATGTTTCCATAAATGGGCCTCATCAATTTTAAGCAAAACTGGATATATGTTTTTCTTTGTTCCCTCTGACTAGAGGGAATTGCACTGTTTTAAATTAATACTAAAAGAATATACTAGTATCAATGTTTCAGAATCATACCAATCAATGCACATTGCAAAATAAAAAGGTTATTTGCCCTTAACCACCAACATCTCAAAAGATGATCTTTAGAAATCTTTGTTGAATTTACAACCTTGATCTTTGTAAATACTCAAAAATATATCTTCACATGGACATAATTACTTGAAATATCATATATAGAACCGTGTCTAGTTCTATTTAATGTACTACTTTTCTACTTTAAAAACATCAACAGTATTGTGAATGTTTAGGGTATACAACATAATGTTATAAAATACATATAGATAGAAAGGTTACTAAATCACATACATCCTCTCACATAGTTACCCATTGTTTTCTTGTTTTTGTGGCAAAAGCAGCTAAAAATCTACTCATTTCACATGAATCCCATATACAGTAGAATTTTATAATATCTATGATTTTCAGGCTGTACTTTAGATCTCTACACTTGCATTTGCTCTTTTTAGTTATGAAGAAGCATTTATAAATCCATCTATGAATGCTTTTACCATAGGTATTTATATATACAAGAATTATTCTCCCCACTCCAAATCTTAATTCTGACAAAAAAAAATTACCACTAAATTTTACAGAAAATGAATTGCTGTATGTCAAATAATATTAAAAATATTAAAATAAAATTGATACACTTAATGTTCAGTGTTATAAAAATACAGATAATGTGAACAACCAAGTTAACACGCCATTTTCTTACCTTGATATGTTTAACAGTAAACACCACAGGATCAGCCAAATAAACCTTGTTACTGAACTCCTTGTTTATTGCTGCCGTAATAACAGGGGAATTGACAATAACAGAATGATTTGTGGACAAAGCTTCTGTTCCCAACTTCATACTGGCATTCTCCGTGGACAAATAAGGACCCAAGTTATCATACAGGACAAAGGCCACTCTGATCTCTCCTAAAATAAATGCAAATTCTGATTACTTTGTCCATTCTACTTAAATTAGTTAGTACTAATGAGATAAAAAATTAAATCCATATAATATGTATTTATACAAAAAAACAAGCATTCATTTCAACCAAAGCACCAAGTCATTCATGAGGAGAGGAAAGTCAAATTGTGCTAAAACAACTACATAGCAGTATTTTTAAAAATGGGCTTCAATCCCTATGTTACTCCATACTCAATACTAAACTTAAGATATATCATACACCTAAACATAAAATCCAGAATCATAAGGCTTCTAGAACAAAATCTAGAATAATATCCTCAAACTTTTAGGAAGGCAAAGATGTCTTCAATAAGACCCCAAACACTAACTGTAAAATAGTAAACTGAACTTTATCAAACCAAAAATTTGTCTATCAAAATACATCATTAAGAATGTAAATAAATAAGTAGACTGAAATACATTTAAAAATAAAATTCATTAATATATAAAGGATTTCTACCAACCAACAATAAAATAATGGCACCTTCAAATGGCAAAAGACATGAATACACACATTTAAAAAAATAAATGAAAGGCCATTAGACACATTAAAAATGACTGACATCATTAGTAATTTGGGAATGAAAATAAGACTAGAATGAGTTACCATTTCATATCCACAAGAATCTCTAAAATTGAAAAGACTGACCACACTCATGTTGATAGGATGTGACAGAAATGGAACTCTTGCACACTTCTGGTGGTAGTATGAAATACCTAAACCATTTAGAAAAATGTTTGACAATTTCTTATAAAACTAAACATACATCTACCCTTCATAGATAAGTAAAAACATATATCCACCACAATATATGTGGATATATATCTTTATTCTTAATAGCCCCAACCGGGAACAATTATTATTTGTGGCATATTATATAATAGAATATACCATGCTTCAATAAATAACCAACTATTGATACATGGAACAACATGAAAATAAGACTAGAATGAGTTACCATTAAAATCTTTTAATGAGTTAACTTAAAAATATTTTGCCTAGTTAATTCAGACAGGAAATGATATATACTGTATGATACAAGTCATATCAGGTCTAAAAATTGGCAAATTTTGTGTATACAAATAATAATAAGAAAGTTTTATTAGGTGAAGAGAGGGATAAGAAGACTGCAGGAGACACTAGAAAATTTTCTGGGTACAGAAGAGATTTATTTTCTTTTGTTGGGTGATATTATAGATGTACAATTGTCAAATTCCCAAACTAAATGCTCGTCAAGCTAAATGTATATTTTAATGTATGTAAATTATAACTCAATTTGAATTTTAAGGAAAACACACAAGATTTCACAATCTTTACCTGTCTTAAAACTCAACTGTCATGTTATTTTAATGTCATTGTTTCTACAAAGTCACCAAGTCCTTCTACCTTAGTTTCCCCTTTATGACAATCTCTTCAATGTAATCCCCTATGAAGTGAACTGTCCTTTGACAAGCTTTTTAAAAATTGTATCATTTTCCTTATTTTACAAAGTCAAGTCCTATATCTTATTTCTGACCCCAACTACTATGGTTACTAAGATGAGGACATCACAGTCCCTATCTCTGAATCTTAGAATCAAGTGGGGAAAAATTGAGTTATGTGGGAAGATAGAAAAAAAAATAACTATTTAGTTGAAGAGGAGGAGGGCTAATCAACATCCAACCGCCATGTTTGGGAAATTCCCTCATCTTCAGAATGTATAGACAAAGTGGACATATACTTGCTTTCCTAGCTTATTGTGAAGAGGTTGCTCTGGGCATCTCAGCTAGATGCATCTAATCAGATAGAGTAGCCTCAGATGTCAGATAAGGAGCTAGTAATACAAGGAAGCAGGATGTGGTACAGCAATAGCAGCAGCATCAGTGGCACAGTTACTGCAACAGAGTTCACTTGTGGCAGCCGTGGCATTTCACAGCAACGATTCTGTGATGTGGTATAGACTGCTGTCAGCCTCCTTGCTCTTGTATATATCTTCTGGGCCTGATTCTCCAGCCTTCTCAGTAATTGTATGAGATAACCATTATCATTTCAGAAATCCAGCAAAGAAATTATGACGAGAGCTACATAATGGAAGAGAGCATTCTTATCTAATCTGCAAGTGTTAATACAGTACTGAGCAAATCATAGTAATTCACTAAATACTTATCTGTTACAACATATAATTTAATTATGTTCTTTTCCTCTAGATTTGGCACTAAAATGCTGATTTTTGAAGGTTAAAATTAAGAATATCCACACATTTTTCTTGCTGACATTAAAAACCTTAATTTTAATTGGTTCATAATTGGCTGATAGTTCATGCCAATTTCTTCTTCTGGGATGGTGTCATTTTGCCAGCCCACCGTGAGTTACCAGCACACATAGTCACTGGCAATTCTTTCATATTTTCTGCTCCAAAATTAATGCTTAAATGTTACTTAAACAGAAACAAAAACAGCCTGGGTGTAATGGTTCAAGCCGGCAATCTCAGCACGATGGGAGGCCAAGGTGGGAAGATTCCTTGAGGCCATGAGTTCAAGACCGGCCTGGGAAACATAGAGACCCTCTTCTCTATGAAAACGAAACAAAACAAAACAAAACACAAAAAAACCCCCAAAATGATACATTAATTTAGTGAACAATAAAATAAATAAGCACACTTAATTTGACTAATATATTTCTACATGTCTACTGCTTGGAGGGAGACATAGGCAGTACGTAGGCAGATTAAAAAATAGTAATAATGTTATTTCTTAAATTGGTAAGTGAATAAATGTTATGAAGAAAATTGGCATAATCATGGCTAATGGGAAAAGAGTGGGAAAAAGGGGTCTACCTTAGAGGAGATAGGGAAGACTCTCCCTACAGAGATAGATTCATTCTAAAAAGTGAATGATAGAGAGGCTGCCATGCAAAAAAAGGAAAAAAAGTAAAAATTGCTTTCTAAGACGAAAGGGGGGAAAAAAAAGGCAGGAAGGAAGTGTATCAGGTAGCACGTGGAAGGCCTAGTTAGGTCATGAGACTTCATTCTAAGCGTAACTGGAGGTGAACTGGTCAGATTTGTGATTCAGGAAGAACCGTTTGTCAACAGCATATACTGTTGGAGGGCAAAAGAGTGGAAGCAGGGACATGATTTAGGAAGCCAATGAAGGAATCTAATTTTGCTCTATTGAATTTTACTGCTGTCTCAAAAAATTTATTAGTTAAATGAGTAACATAAAATGATTTCCAAGTTTAGTCTTACAGTATTTCAAACATTTACAGACTATTTTATTCTGATGGCAACAAATATAAGTTATTTTTCTTGATATTATTTAACTGGATCTTCTTTTCTCAAAACTATTCACCCTGAAATATGAAATATTAGCATTGAGTTGGTTGCTAGGAACTGAAGTCATCTTCCTGACGGCTAAACAATCTCCCTTTCTTGGCAAAAAAGGAATGTCTGTGTGCATTTATGTGTCTGTATGTATGCATATGTATATATGTACAAATATGGGAAACAGGAGTCTACTTTAGAGGAGATGTATACATACAGACATATATATACACACACATACATATACACCCATATATATGTCTGTAAATTTAAATAGTTTTTAATATTAGTGAGTTTGGGGACATTCTTTATAAGATTATTTATTGAATTTTAATTATTTTCAGTGTATTCAATTTAGTATTAAGCTAAGCTAACTATATTTACACTTCCATTTCCCAAAATCATCTCTTTGCATTTAAATGTTTGTATGCTTTGCAAAAAAAAAAAAAAAAAAAAAAAAAAAAAGCATAAAAACACTCTCAAAAAGAAGCTCAATAACCAAAAAAATGTAATTTTAAAATTAAAACTAAAATTTACATTAAAAAATTTACAATTAAAATCTGCAAATTTAGTGACAGTTCTTCTTTTTGAGGAAAAGTGTCAGATCCTCTGAATTTTGGTGTCCATAATTTCCCTCATATTTAAGTTTCTGGCTACTGAAAAGAAATGGAACAATTTCCAAATCTGATTGAGAATTTAGAATAAATATTACTGTAATATTGGTGGTGCGGTACATTAGGAAGAGGAGGAAGTGGAAGAGAAAGAGAATAGGTAAGAAGAAGAAGGGGGAAACGCTTATAAACAGTGGACTTAATATTTCAAGCCAAAAAGCAATGAGTTGATGCAAGTTTATTTTCCTCAAACTTAAAAAATAAACTCTAACCTACCATTTCGACCATTTTGCTTTAAAGTGTTTGCAGACAGCTGGATAGTGCTTCCATGGCCCATGTTTTCTGGAAATTTTAGGTCTTCTAAGTTTCCTTCTGTGCTCAGCCTTGCAACTTCCAATTCTGTTAATATCAGAGAGATACCAGTGCTCATAGAGAAACATACCTAAGCTACAATCATTTCCTAAATCATTGAAGTATTTCTGAAATCAAAACACTGGAATTCTTGTTCTATTTGTCATGTTATGAAAATCTTTAAGAAAATACATTTTTAGCATTTTGCCAAAATAATGCAAATTAAAGCTATTAAAATTATTTAAATAATACAAATATATCAATAAAGTCTAAAATTTAAAACGCAATCCCAAATTCTAATACATTTGTCTTAAGTTTTAAAACAAATCTTTATTTTCTAAATTAAGTAAAAATTCTTTTATAACCTAGAGCTGTACCGTCATATCAATATTGAACTATCTTTAAGCCCAATAAATTTGAAACAGCTTCATCATAACTTCTGAAGTAAAACTGTTAGCTACTCCTAATCCACAATAAAAACAGATTTATATCCTTTATAAGCCAAATAACACAATTATCACTGTCTTATCATCTTCCCTCAAATGACTTATTTCTTTATAAAGCGTAATTCAAAGATACTCTCATTATAACTGAAATAACTCCTAATAGTCCTGTATAAAGAGGACAAAATTTTAACTAGTATAATATATACATAAAAATCCTTTAAAAAAAAAAAAAAACCTCCCTGCAAGTGATCTCAGGCTAACACGTTCAATGTTGAACCTAATATTGAAACGCCCTAAAAAGGATAGCACACATGATTTGAAATCCTTTTAAGCCAATGACAGTTGATACCCTCCTTATTTTAGAAAAAGAATGACTTTCTCCATTTAAATAAAGCATCACTCATATCTGGGACACCAAGACACCTTTTTCTTTTCCCTCTTATGATATTCAAGAGTGTCTGGACCTTCTGAATAACAAAGGCCACTTACTAATATTGTCTGTGTTCTCCCTGACAATGTCAGTCTTCAAAAGGTTATCAGCCAGCACAAAAGCACTTTCCTCCACCGTATGAAGCAACATGGTGGCCGCACGCAGCTGATCGCTCGTAGTCAGGTCTCTCCACGCATTCAAAGCTTGTGGCTGAAGGAGGTTGTTAACTGTCTCGACCATTGCCTATAAGAGGATGAAAAGAATGACAGAGGTCTCTAGTGAACCCACATAGCTGTCAGAATTCCAGGTGTACATGTTGCCCAGCAAGCTGGGATCAGCAGTGTGCATGAGTTCAGTATTGTCCCAGCCTCCCCTGTGACATGCTGCAGCAGAAGCATTCATTATTTTGTTCTGTAAAACCCTAGCTGAGACTTTGCAAAGCAAGAGGAAAACCTGTTTTTGTTTTAAAGGACAACAAATAAAGCCATGCTTCCTTCTTTGAATAAATAGCACAAGCTTCCATAAGACTATGATCACATAATTAAATTATTCGGCTGGGGAACTGTTGACAACATTTAAAACCAAGAGTTTTACCACGTGACTCAGAGAAAATATTTTATTCCTGTATGTTACCATAAAACTGGATGCTAAACACAACAGAGATTAAAAGGATGACCATAGGTAGGATAATCCAAGAATTTGTTGACTATAGGTTGATGACTCACATAGCAAACCTATTTGTTTTTTAGCCAGCTAGTAAAATGTCAGAATGGGGAAAATATCAAAGCATACATACTCCCAGGGGCTTTGGATATGTTATGTATAAAGAGAAACCTTCTTCATACTGTTTACTATCAGGGAGGGGAACACACAGTTGAACCTTACTACCTATGGTCCTCAGGTGTTTTATCTTTTAAAAAATCAGCAGTAGATACACCCACACATAGAGAGAAAGCACTACAATTCTCATTGCTTCATCCAAAAGAATCATCTCTGTAGTTACAATTTATATATTTCCTGTGGTTTGCTTTATGCTGTAGGTTACAAAGAAAAACAGTTCTCCCAATAAGCTCTTGGGTTTCATTCAAACACAGAGAAGTGGAAAATAGAAAAGTACAATACCTGCAGCTTCAAAGTGATCATCCCTGAACCCATTCATCATGAGATATGCATCTAATCCAGAAATAAAGTTGAATAAACAGCCAACACAGGCACAGTTTCTAGGCAGCATGTAAGTGTTTTAAAACAGGTCTCACATTATTGACACATTGGCAGAGGGGCTGGCAGAGACCAGAGAAATACCCTTTACACTGCAGGGTTTTCTTCTGGCTGGTGTTTTCATAGTAACCAAGTAACAACTGTTAAAAATTCAGCTTCATAATGAAACACCTTGGCTGCCAATTAACACCAGCTTCAAAAACTAATTTGTCTTTTGATAAAAGTTGTTTTTCTTGATATTTTCCCAGCCATTCCAAGTTTTGGCCAAAAATCAACATCACTATACTTTTAAGTAAAATTATCCTACTCACAGCTTGCATGGTTTGCATGATTTTCTAAAAGAAAACAACACAAATCTCTCAGGAGTTTAAACACTGGGCATGTTCATATAGTGTGCTTAGCTCCATCATTTGTTCTTGGTGTCAAGCACGACCTAGTAGCCAGACAAAAGTATTTCTGGATCACAACAAATGATCCGCTTTCCAGGAAGTTCTCTGTAAGGGCAATGCCAACAGGATATACCAATAAAAGAGGTGCCAGATAGGAAACCAAAAGAAAAAAAAAAAAAAAACTTTAGATATTTTCTGAGGCCAAACAGAGAACATAGACCAATTCAGTGTAAAGAACTATTCTTTCAGGGATTAGCCCATCCTGTGAATTCATTAGAAATGTTCTGAAAATCCCAAGTGCAACAGAAATTATGCCTGTTCTTTATGGAGCAGACATTTTAGCTGCTGATAGTCTTAATACTTAGTTAATAATATTATAATAATTAAAATCTTACCTCAGTGAAAATTTTATTGGGGATAATATTTTCTGTTCTGTTTTTAGTTGCTTTTATTTTCATGATTTCAAAAATGCAAGATGAGAAAAAAGGAAAAAGAAACAACTATGTTCAACTTCTAGAATGTTCTAAGTAAGAATGTGTTCCAAGATGAAATCGGGAAAAAACAGGAAGTCTGAGTAGACGTATAACTAATATGGAGATTGAATCAATAATCAAAGTCTCTCAACAAAGAAAAGCTCAGGACCACATGGCTTCACTGGTGAATTCTACCAATTTTTTTTTTTTTTTTTTTTTTTTTTTTTACATTTAAAGAAGAATTAACACCACTCCTTCTCAAACTCCAAAAAATAGAAGAGGAGAGAAGGCTTCCAACCACCTTTTTACGAGGCTAGCATTACTTTGACACTAAAGCCAGACTAAGTCATCAAAAGAAAACTGCAGGCCATATCCCTGATGAATACAGAAGCAAAAACTCTCAACAAAATGCTAACAAACTAAATCCGACAGCACTTAAGAAAAAATACATAAACCATGATTAACTGCAATTTATCCCTAGAGGCGGGGATAGTTCAACATATAAATATCAATGACTGAGATAGGCCACACTGACAGAATAAAAGATATCACGATTATCTTAATAGATGCAGAAAAAGCATTTAACAAAATTCAGCACCTTTCACGATAAAAACTCAACAAACTAGGAACAGAAGGAAATTACCTCAACATGATGAAAGCCATATATAAAAGCCCTTAGATAACATCATACTCAACAATGAAAACCTGAAATCTTTTCCTCTAAGATCAAAAACAAGGCAAAGATGCCCACTCTTACCGCTATTCAACATAGTACTTGAAGTCCTTAGCCAGAGTAATTAGGTAATAATAATAATAGGCATCCAAATTTAAATGAAAAAGTAAAATTCTCCCTGTCTGCAGTGACATGATCTTATATACAGAAAATCTGAAAGACTCCATTAAACATATATATATATATATGACTGTATATATGTATGTGTATATATAAAAGACTGTGTGTGTGTGTGTGTGTGTGTGTGTGTGTGTGTGTGAACTAATGAACAAATTCTGGAACCTGTTTACAACAGACTGCTTTATCTAAAAAAACTTTGTATGTCTGAATAGACAGCAAATAAATCAAAGGCACCAATTTATCGATTTATTTTAGTTTTGTAACTGAAAAGGTACAAGGTGCAATATTTTTTCATAGTTGTAAAATTTCAACAAGAGTATTCTTCAAAATAAGGGAGTCCTTAGGGAAGCTTTCTACTAAAGCCCAAAACAACTGCCAAATTTACTAAGAAGCAACACACTCAAAATGTGGCCCCAAAACCTAGGAGTTGGTGGGTTATGACACCAATCTAACATTTATTTAGTCTGCTCAAAAACACACCTGTTCACAATTGCTTAAGTATAACTGCAAGGAAATGTTAACACAGGGATCGAGAGACAGTATTCTGTAGTTCTAAAATCAGAGTGTGGGATTTGGGGTCACATTCACTGAATTGTATCTGCTCAGTGCCTTTGAGTGTGTGACACTGGGCAAGTTACGTAACTTCTCTACACTCCATCTACAAATTTGGTATGATAATATAATCATCTCGGAAAGTTGTCTGGCTCATAACAAGTGCTCAGGATGTAACCTTATGTTTACTTTCACTTGATATTACAGCCCAGTGCAGGAAGAAGAGAAGTTTTCACTTAGTAAGCACAATTCATATCTGATAAGTGCTAAATAGCCACACTGAATTGAGATCTGGAATGAGTAAGTTTTCAGTAATGCAATCTTCATAATTTGGTATCTTGCACAACTACAGAAGACTATACTACGTGAAGCTTTGAGGAATTGGAGAGTAAAGGCAACATGTGTATTAAATAGATCCTAATGAGGTTTTTAGCGACTTGAATAAACTGACCACTTTTCTGCTAGTGAGACAGCACAATTAAGTCCATCTTAGAAGTTTTATAATTATAAATTATTTAAACTTTCTAAAGCTTGCTGACATGTCCCTTTACCAGCTAAATGAAGGTCAATTCAGTAACTACAACTCCTCAATGAATACCTATATTTGGATTTCCTTATACATTTATGTATTGTATATTTTATTCACACACTATGACATCTGGTCACAAAATGATTTTTTTCTCAAACTACTTATTTGCATTATTTTCATAAGCTCAACATAAGACTCATTATATTTCAATTTGTGAATAGGTACCAGCGGGTGTTATCCTTTTCATTATACAGTAAACTGACTAAACTCTCAGTGACTTTTGTCTGTTTCTAAAAGTCAAATATAAATGGGAAAGAGCCAAAGTTATTTGATTCACACCAGAATTACAGACATGCCATATCCTACTAGATATATGTTTGCATTATGCAACATTATTGGGACCCTTATCATTAAATTCAGACCTTAGGCAAACTCAGTTGACGAGTATTACTCATAGCATATAATTTCAGTCTATTCATTAAGGATGTTATACACTTTATAGTTATATTTTCTATATTTCAAAATACAGAGTTTACTTATTTGTTATAACTGCTGCAAAAATGTTTGGGAAATATTGCTACATATCTTTGCAATGACAACTTTTGTCAGTATTCCAAGAGAATGCATTTGTGAAATAGCCTAAGATTTCTCGGCAAGAATACACAAAAGAATCAATGGTGAGAAACACATGAGTGGCACTTCTTACCCGGGTGAGCAGTAGATATCAAACTATGAAGGTAAGCAGAATCATCTGGGGAACTTAGTTACCCATCTTCCTTCATTTGAAAACCATAAAAATAAATACTCCCATAGAAGGAATGCCTTATGAAAAACGTATAACTTTACCACCATGGCATTTTTTTTCTTTTGCAGACAAGTTTTTAAATCACAAGCTCATTAAGGTTTTACCTCACATATCATCTGTTTCAAGAGGTCTTCCATTATTAGCAAAACTAGGGGGGAATCCCCCCATTTTAACTCTACTACCTGTTTTGTTTTCTTTGTATCAGATGTCATTATGGAAAGGTGTCTCATATATTTGTTTACCTGCACAACTATCTGAAACCTCCCATTGGACAGAAGGCAAGATTCATGAAGGAGGAGACGCTGTCTCATTTACAAGAGCCAAAAGCAGTGTTTCCTAACTCTTGACTGAGAAATTTGCCATGCAGGATAATTCATACATAGGTCAGTTTTCCCCATTTTCATATCAGCAAAAATTATCTCTG